AGTTATAATAACTAAATTATTGCACAAAAATGGAAGGAGCTCTGCAGGGGAGAAAAAACATCACTTTTGACAGGTATAATTTAAAGGCCTAGTTTTCCTTGAAGTAATGTACAATAACCACCACGTTTCATGCAAAAGATTTAAACTAAGATCATTTTATTCTATGGAGAGATGGAGTTAGAGCTGTTCAGTCAAGCCAGAATGACGTTACGCACAATCCCGTGATAGATCTCAGGAAATGTGATAGCACTTATAAAATGTGTTGAGGATGACTCTCAGCTACTACCACGCCAAATCTGTACCTGTAAAAATGACAGATTATTGTCATCTTTATGCTGGATAAGTTTGATAATCTGTAGCATCTGTCCATCCATTCATCGTCTGAAGTCGAGACGCGGGTGCAGCAGTCTCTCCCAGATAACTGAGCTTCTCACCCTACCTCTAAGGGGGAGTGCAGCCACCCTGCAGAGAAAACTCATTTCAGCTGCTTGTATCCCATCTGTTCTTTCTGTCACTACCCAAAGTTCATGACCATAGGTGAACGTAGACTGATCGTCACCATTAAGTCCAAATGCTAGTGAGTGGACTTGCACATCCAGTGAATTTCTGAGGATTTCATTAAAATCTGTTTGGTTTGTGAGATTTGATACATATTCAGCTAACGTTGCAGACAAACCATAAAACTGTTTTACTTGCTTCTTGCCTTTTCCTGTATTTTGTCAGTGCATTAAGTCTTTGGCCATGTTTCTCCATCAGTAGAGTAATAAAATGATCAAATAAGACTGTTGTTGACCTTTATGACCAAATGCAACACTTTTACATGACTGACTAAAGCAGTTGTCCCTTTTAAAAACAATCAGAAACAGATTAATATAATAATATCTGACGCAAACTTTAACTACAGCACAGATGTCCTGTTTCTTTTGTCAGTTACAAATGGTTTCAGTTACTATTTTATTCAAATTTGACTCGTTTTGAAATCCCAAATGTTCTCCCTTTTTTAATAAATCACAAACCTCAGAGAACCGTAAAACTGAAAGTAATTTGCCGTTTGGTATTGCTATTTGCATAAATAAAAACAAGCTTTTAAAATAAACTGAAACTGCTCCTAAACCTCAGATTTAAAAAAAGTGAGGATCAAAACCTCGGCTTAAGAAAATAAAAATTGTGGCAGCTTTTATTGAGGGAGTTTATTGCCATTAAAAAACTGAAATAAAAAAAATTTACAGCCACAACATCCTATTGTCTGTTTGTTTGTTTTTTTGACAAATTGAATTGCTATAAGCATTTTTGTTATTGAGTTATTTCAAGTATGGAAAAGTTTGATGACTCTGACTATGTTTGCTGCGTGGCTTCAGAGCCAATATTATGTTATAGTTTGAAAATATCTTTTAAAATACGTTTTTAGATTTGTGGTTTAAAACATTAAATGCATGAAATAATTAAAGGTCTGACTTTCTTTGAAAGAATGATAATTACCTGTAGCCTGTCATGCCAGAGCTTTAGAACATGTGAAGATTTTACTGAGTTGTACTCACATTAAAGTTTGTATATTAGTTTATCTGTTTTTTTTTTGTTTATTTTTGTGTTTATAATTTTTTTGGAAGCAGCAAACCTGCACTCACAGGCACAGACAAAACATTTGTAGACAGTACACCATAACTACAAATTTGAGTTCTTTATTGCATAACAGCTGTCAAAATACACACATTTTTAGTGCTTTATTTTTAAAATTTATGCCTCAAACACAATTTTTACAACAATAAATGATCAGGGGTTAATATAACCCAAACTCATCAGGATTTTTGTAAACTTTGTGTTAGAATATAGTAAATATAGCCTTGAACAGCTGAATTTGGCTGAAATTCTCCTGTTATTCAGAATATCTCAGCACGGCTCAGCCTAAATTATGCTCTTAGCACCAACTTTCCCTTAAACACTCCGCCGCTCGCTTTCTTTCCCCGGTGACTTCTGTTGACTCATTTTCACAACTTTTAGTTGCTGTTTCGTTTCAGAAGAAGAGAGAAGAACTTTACGTTTTCACTTTCGGCCTGGTGTGTGATTCCATCGCTCTCTCTCTGACTCTGGCAGGGATTATTTTACTGGCTCCACATCTGAGACTTTTCAAAGTTTTCTTCGACAATGTTCAAAATGTAAACAAACGACTCATAACTGTTGCCGACAAAACATTATTCTGCTGATTTTTCTTATTTTCCTTCGGTATTCATTTGTGTGGTTGTTTTTATTGTACATAACTTAAGAAATTCTAATGAAAAACATTGAAAAAATCTGTATTTTGAGAGTTGTTCCTTCTGTAAACAGTGAAACTGTTCGTGTTAGTGCCCACAGCAGATCATTTTTCTGTGTGTGTTTTTTATTGGACCCCCCTGGCATGGTGGCAGCGTGCAATCTTGCTTTTTGTTTCTGTCGATGGAGGTTTGGGGGTTTGGCACAGGGGAAATAAGCTGATGCTTGCCAGGAAATCAGCCCCCCCCGCCCCTCCTTTTTTTTGCCCCCTCTGTTTTCACTCACCGCCCCCCAGCCCCCAGAAGCCACCCTCACCATCTCTTTGATGCATCTATTGTGTGAAGATGCACCTCTAGCTGTGGGAGGCTGTCTCCCAGCAAAATGCACGAGTGCAGACTCACATGAGTGAAGGAGCTCCTTCTTTACACCAAGCAGAAAAACACACAACTTAGTTTTTTTTTCCCAAATGGATCAACTTTATTGTTTTTTTGCAAAAATTCACTCATTTTGAATCTGATGTCTTAATCTTTAAAATCTCTTTAGTAAATTAATTCCACTTATTAAATAGATTTTAAAGTGTTTGAAACAAATACTTTGGAAAAAGCAGAGTCTGTTCCACTGGATTAAACAGTATATGTTTTTTAAATTCATCTCTTAAACAGAATATTTGAAGTTGCCGTGCGTTGACATGTTTTGTGCGCATGCATAATGAGCTGTATGTGCTTGCTGCTACAATTTTGTTTGATCTACAGCTATTTATAAATGTGGGATTTGTGGCACGCGCCCCCCCCCCCCCCCCTGCAGACAGACAGAGGTGCATTGTGGGGGAGGCGTGCCGGCGTGATCAGCGCCATGCCTTTTTAATAGAAAATAAAGAAGATGAAAGGAGATATGTTGCCTCTTGTCACATGAAAGACATCACTTTCTCAGAAGAAGATTTTTAAGTACTTACTTTTGTTTTTCAATTAATTATTTTGTCAACTTTCCTGGGGGGTGAAAATAAAAATAGATTACATGTGTTAGAGAAACAACGAGATCTGTATCAGGTGCGCCAATTTGCTTGAATTGAATCAGAGTTTTGTTGTGTCTCTGACTCTCTTTTTAGCCCGTTAGGTTTTCCTCCGTTTGTTGACCTCAGATTTTATAAAAGGTGTTAAACAGCTGCAGAAAACAAAAAGGGAGGATGGACAAAAATGTGTGAGAGGAGAACAGAAATGTGTGTGGCAGGAAAGAATATGAGATCAGTAATCTGCTGAGTCATCGTGACTGGTCTCTTGATGATCGCTCAGCAGCAGTAACAATAGGCTCCCTTTATCACACGTAAACACACACACAGATCTAGGAGATGAGCGTGAGGCCAACACACACACACACACACACACACACACAAACACACACACACAAAGCATGTCATTGAGAGCTTGTGGAGATGCTCATCGGCGGAGCCGTGCACTCCAAGGACTGATCTCATCTTTTGCACTTCCACATTTGCTCTTTGTTGACCTCTGATTCACACTTCTGACTCCATCCTTTTGTGTCTTGTTATTTTTATTTATTTATTTATTTATTTATTTAGTTTTTGTTTTCAGTTCATCCACCGTGAGCGCGTGGCTTACACCAGTTTTACTGCTCCTCTTTGCGAAGGTGTGTGCACATTTCAAAATGGTTGTAACGGTTAGTTTCCCTCTGGAGTCCTTCCCACAAATGTTACCACTTCCTCTTCTGTCGTGCTTCGCTTTTATTCCTATTGGCCTGAAGCCAGCCAATGAGAGTTCAAGAGCACAAAGGTAGTGGGCACTGTGAGTTGTAACCGCTAGGAAACAGGAAGTCAGGGAAATTCTAAGAAACGTTTGACACTTTCACTCGTGCAATCTTACACAGATGCAAAATCTACTACAATGCTCCCTCAACAGTGCTTCAATGCTAGATTTCAATTTAATATGTCTCCAGTTGCCTTGGTAGGTATGACTACGTAAAAAGTGGGATTATACTGATTTAAAATGGCTGTTTCTTGACACGTTAGTTGAATTTATTGTGATGTTTTGTGCTTAATGCTCTCCTGTGTCTTTACAGGTTTGTGCAGAAGAGCAAAGCTCTTGTGGCATGACGACGCCTAACAAAGTCAATAAAGCCTTGAAGGTAAAAATGTATTTTTTTGGCATAATGTTCTGCCTTTTGATTTGATGGTTTGTCCTGATCGACTGCCCTCCTCTTCCTGCTCCCTCTAGGTGAAGCGAGAGCCAGGCGAAAATGGCACCAGCCTCACGGACGATGAGCTGGTGACCATGTCGGTACGCGAGCTGAACCAGCACCTCCGAGGGCTCTCCAAAGAGGAGATCCTCCAACTGAAGCAGAGGCGGCGCACCCTGAAGAACCGGGGCTACGCTGCCAGCTGCCGGGTGAAGCGGGTCACCCAGAAGGAGGAGCTGGAGAAGCAGAAGGCTCAGCTGCAGCAGGAGGTGGACAAACTGGCCAATGAGAACGCATCGATGCGCATCGAGCTGGACGCTCTCAGGTCTAAGTACGAGGCGTTGCAGACCTTTGCCAGGACTGTGGCACGGAGCCCGACGGTCGGGGTCGGGGTGAGGGCTGGAGGGGGAGGAGGGGGAGGGATGGCCTCCTCGGTCATTGGTCCCCTCATACCGGGGAAGGTGGCGACTGCGACGAGCGTCATTACAATAGTCAAGTCGAAAACGGATGCACGGTCTTGAGGTGGAGAGGGAGAGATGAAGGTGGAACAGGATGGAGTTTGGCTGCGTCGGAGCACGTTCCTCCCTCTCCTCCACCTGCACCAACTCCACACAGCTGGGCCGTGTCGCGTCAGCGGGTTTTCATCACCAGGCTCAGATCAGTGCAGATGAAGTGAGGAAGGAAGCAAAGGAGGATTATTCAGTTTAAAGAAGCTTCTGGTCAGGGTGTGGTCCTTGGGTTCCTGCGGCCAATGAATCGACACAAAACTACTTTTGAATTTGTGGCACGAGTATTTGTCTCATTCTTATAAATGTTCAAAACGCTAAAGGAAGAGAAATGTCGAGTTTCCCATGTTTGATATTTGCACATAAGACTTCAATTAGGCACATTAACTAAACTTTAAATTTTACATTTGGTATCAAAATCAACACGATTGTTTTACAGGTACTTGCAGAACAAATGATGTAATCTACTGATTACGCTGCAGCTCCATCTTGTTCCGCCTACAAGAACTTTTTCAGAAAAGTACTATAGAAAACTATATATTATACAATGGTGGTAACTGTATTTCTACTGTTTTGTACTGTGTTGTCATTCACATGAGGTCCAAGGTGTATTCTCTGTGTGTGAATTGTTATATATCAGGAATTCTGTGAAATTCTGTGCTGCGTGTTTGTTCTGGTATCGCTATATTTAGTTAGCTGTACTTTTTTTTTCTAAGGTCTCCTCACTTTTGATGTGCGACTCTATCTTTCTTGCTCAACTATTCTTTCTCTGTCCTTCCGTTTTTCTTTCTATTCCAACTGGCTTCCAACATTACATGTAGTACTTCCTGGATTTAACGGAAAGAAGTGTGCAAAGCGATTTAACTTAAAGCGAACAGTAGAAAGAAAAACATGCACAATTCATGAAAAATAGTCATTTCGGTACGCAAGAATTTCCAGGAAAATCGGCCCATGAACACTTGATCTGGAATTTGTTTTCTATGTTTTACCAAACAAAATTTGGAAGACCTTGGTCTTCTAGTGATGTGCATCAAGATGGAAGTAGAGACAAACCGAGGAAGGATGGTAGAGATTAGAGCAGGTGTAATCAGGTTGTAGCAGCATACCTGGCTGTGTGTTGTCGTTTGAGCTGTGTAGCCATCAGGACTGAATAGTAATGACACTCATTTATGTGACTGAAGTTAACTTAAAACAAATTATCTAAAAACCAGGAACTCTCGTCCATCTTAACTGTTATAAAGTCCGTCTGTTTCTTTATTCATCTTGTAATAAATTCCTATTGATTGCTAAAAAATGTAGGTTACAGCTAACAGGGATTTTTGATCCATCTATCAGTTTCTTCCACTTATTCATGGTTGGGTTGCAGGGTAACAAGTCCCAGTGGGAAACCCAGCCACACTTTCCAGCTCCTACTGGGGGATCTTAAGGTCTTCCCTGGCTGGAGACAGTTATAAGATTCCTCCAGTGTGTTTTGGGTCTCGTTCCAGTGGGAAGTGCCTGGAAAACATTCAAAGGGAGGTGTGCAGGAGGCATCCTAATCAAATGCTGAAATCACCTCAGTTGACTCCTTTCAGTGCAGAGGAGCAGCAGATCGACACCAAGTTCCTCCTGGATAACAAAGCTTATCTTGTCTCTAAAGGCTGAGCCTGGCCACCCTACGAAGGAAGCTCATTTCAACCGCTTGTCTTCAGGATTTCATTCTCTCTGTCAGGGTCATTTTATGATTATAGGCGAAGGTTAAAATGCAGTAAAACCAGTAAATTAAGAGCTTTGCCTTTTTGCTTAACGCTTTCTTTCATCATGGCAGATGATCACCGATCTTTAAAGTCCAACCTGTTGATTCTGATTTTGGTTGACATTGATTTTTTATTTATTTTTATTTTTAGACTAACACTGTTGGGTGTTGTAAGGTCACAAATCTCCTTAAACTGTCCAATCTTATTTTATCAAAAAATACTGAGTAAAACCTTTGAAACAATAGAAACTTGTTGGACACTAGTGCTTACAGCAGAGCAAAAGGGGATAGTGGCTGATTTTCAGACCTTTGTAGAGGTATGAGAAACTGATCTTATCTATCGGCTGTTCTCCAATCTCCCAAAATGATAGAAATCAGTGCCAGTAAAGCTGGCTGCTTTATCAGTGCACCTCTACTTATAGTCCTCCACTTGAGACAAAGACTCACCCCAACATGAAGGGAGTCCTCCTTTTTTTTTTTTGCCTGAGAACCATGGCCTCAGATTGTAATGAAGGTGACAGTGCACGCTGAAGATCATTGTCTGAAGATGCCAACAGAACCACATCATCTGCAAAAAGGATGAGACCCCGGGGTTTGATTGGGGGATCTTTTGGCCTGAAATCAGATTGCGGTTAAAGCCAAACGAATGGCAGAGTAAACCAGAGCTCCTGTCTCACGTTCAGATCTGGTGTCTGACAGAGGAATCTGCCATCTTAAACACTTCCCAGTCACACAAATGAGCTGTAATTTCTCCTTGGCCCAGCATAAAGCAGTCCCTTGCGGTGTTCTATATTCAAAGAGTCTATGTAAAGTGGAGTCTGTAATTTTATAAAAACAATTATCTTTGCATCATTTGTAACGACATGTAAAAAAGGTATTACAAAGTCTGTTTGATATACAGTATCTCTCTCTATTTTGCAATTGTACCAAAAGTGGCTTAACTACTGAATAGCTTTGTGTTTTTCATTAGTGACTCTCTAGGCAGTGTGCGTAATGGAGTAGCACGTGGCGTGCTGTATGTGACGAGGTGATATAACGTTAACTATTTTATGCATATGACTTTGATATGTGTTTGATTTGGGGCCGAAGAGGGTGATGACATTATGGGTAACTGCACTCTTTTCTCTTATCATATAATCTTTGTCCCCACGGCCCCGTCATTTAGCTCCATAACTTCAGACCCGTCAGATGTTTTGCTAAACTGCCCTTACGAGGTATGAATTCAAAGAAGTCCACTTTGATCACCGGTTTGACATATTTCTAAGCAGACTGTCTTTGGGTTTGCTCGGTTTGGTGATTGTTGCAGATAAAATCACTGAGGTTAGAACATGGGTCGGTTTCCCTCACTGACTTCTTGATCTAATGTATTCAAGAAAACAAACAAATTAAAAAAAACCCGTAAAACTCAAACTGTGTGATAGGGCTTTGTGGCTGCATCACACCCACTCTTTTGGTAAGTTATTTTTGTTGTGTGCGACAAAGTTATTTTGTTCTTGCTGCGCACATTTTATGTATATTTAATGTTGTTCCTGTGTTTGTTTTTTGAGCTGTTTCTAGAAGTGTCAGGGAAATGAAATAACATTTTGTAACTCTGTGTGGTGTTTTTTATAAAAAGTGAAAACGTATATTCAGCTATTTAATGACCTGTCTGTCTGAGTGAAGTTTACCTTTTGAGTACAATTTTCTCAAATGTTTTTTTTAATGATGATTTAAACCAAATGTTTTGAATGGAAACAAATTGCAGCAACAAAACCATTACAAACTCATGGCTGTGGGAAGCGTTTTGAATGTGTTGAAATTTTAGGACCCTAAACACCAAACATGAACAGATCACGATACTAAAAATAGACAATTAAATGCACACTCACTGCATGTTGCCTTATTTGAATATGGAAATTGTAAAAAAAAAGTGCTGTAATATATATAAAATTTGCGGTCATGACCTAATGCTAATCTTCCCTCTTTTTGTGGGTTTTAGGTCAAATTTTGCGCACAGATAAACAAAAGTATCAGGGTTATAAAACTCATTTTCACTATTTCAACATGTTCTGCACTAAAGTTTTAAACTTTTTTGTATGTACTTGTACGTGCATCCATCGCAGGGTTATGCAGCACCCTCTGCCTCCCTACTTCCCATGGCCTTGAAACTCATTTTAACCTGAACTCCGCCATCATAAACACTGATTAATTATCTGTCCTGCCACTGTGCAGTTATCAAGATTATTAACTTTGTCGTCATTCATACAAAACGTTAATATAAAACCGGGTTTAAACATTGAACAGAGACTGATGGTTTCCTCTGAGTTAAAAAAAAAAAACACTTGTTCTGGCGAGCGTGATCCAAGAGGGAACTAATGCCTCACAGTGATTAGCTTTTAGCTCCAAGCAGACTTTAACATCATTTGTGTATTTCCTGCTTTTTTATCTGTGCTACTAATGTCTTCTTAAATATTTATTTTTCTGTTTTTCATCAAAGTCTTGTGTGTTTGGTAAAAAAGAAAAAAAAATGGTGTCAAACTGTACAAACTGTGCCTCGATCAAACTGTTTATTTGACTTTTGTGCTCCAGTTTTGAAAAGGTAAATACTTTCTGTAAACCTAAGTGTTCGACATGGCGGCTGCTGTTTAGATGAACACGTTTAATTACGCAGACCGCGTAAACTCCGGCCTCAGAAGCGATGTGTTGTCAAGTCGTGTGTTTTTAAATGCAGGTTCGACGTGATGTGACGAGGTTAAAGAGCGTTTTAGATGTGATTATAGCTGCAGTGTTTAAATTTAGTCTTTCGTTCGGTGTCACTTAACAGCTTCACTGTGACACATGAAATCACTGAATATATTGTTATTCGTTTCCAACTGAGACGAAGACAATGAAAAATACAACTGTCACACAACGCCTCCGGGTAAGCTGAGAATTTCTGTCTTCCAGACGTGTTTTTTTTCTCTTTTATGGTGGTGTTATCCAACGCGTGGGCTCTTTAGACAAATGAGGTTAAATATTACTGGTTTTAATCCTGGTCTTTCACTCAGCAGATGTGATCAGCTAACAGCACCGACCTTCAGTGATAATCAGGCAGGGCAGCGCTCTGGCTTTTCATAGCAGCGTTTATGAGCTGTAAGACACGCCGACCTTATTTTCCGCAGCATGTTCTGGGGTCGTGACCTCCTTACGATAAGGCATTTCATCACAAACCAGAGCAACCGCTCGTACTCAGGAGCTATAAATAATTTACAGGGGCTCAGAAGGAGGTGGCGGAGACATCTGATAAAAGTCTTAACCACCCCACTCACTCCACCTTCTTTCACGAAAGGCTGTGTGAGTTAAACTCAGCGGCCTACCAAGCTCTTCCTCAAAGCCTCCATTTCTTCTAGAAGACACGAATCATTAACTTCTTATCTTGCTGCATGGCCAATCAGTATGTAGTCATTCAGTTGTTTTTCCTGTCTAGTGAATCACGCCATTGGACTCTAAAAGCCCTTTCACCTACCACAGATCTAGATCGATGAAAGTAAATGAGGCAGGATTCCTTTGATCGCCTGTTTGGTGTTTTCATCAATAATAATGTGGATTTTGCTTCCTAAGTTACCTCATCTGCCGCTGTGTCTTCCTCCCTCTCTGCCACACATCAGTCGTACAACAAGTAATGGAAGTATTTTCTCACAGATTTCAGGTATTTTTTTTTGTAACAGTAATCTCTAATTTAACCCATGATAAACTGTTTTAATCATCCATCAGGCTGATATAGTTGTTTCTAAAAGCTATTCAGCAGCTGTGAGTTTGAGTAAATTCAGTGTAACCTGTTCAGAAAAGCCCTTGTAATAGAAAAACTGTGTTTGTGATATTTCTGTATGAGGTGTATTAAATTATACAGTACAAAAATACTGTTGACGGGGGGAAAAAAAACCTTCAAATGTACCAGTCATTGTAGGTATTTATCTTCATCTAAATTATTGTCCTTTTGTTGCAGTTTGTAGATATTGATGATAAAGTATTGGTAATCCTGAAATGAACTGTTTCATCATCTGTCCAATGCATTTTTTGTAATTTATTGATGTATATAGTGTAGGTTTGTTGATAAACAGCTTACTTTATTTTGTATATGACCAATAAACATGTTTTAAAAAGCAGAACCTGTGTTTAATGTACATTTGATTTTTATCATTTAATTACAACAAATCATATTCTGATTGTTTTGAAACATGTTTTGTTTATGATTTCTCTTTATTATAAAAGTGAGTGGGGAAATAATACCTTTTTATATATTTTTTTTGTTTTAGGATTATTGGTTGATTTCTTTTTGCATCTGACTACTAAACTGCTGTTAATTGTTCAAACAAAATTATTTTTTCTGCTGAAAGGAGTCAAATCATTGTCAGCTGAACAACTTAAGATCCAAGATCCTCATTATCTGCTTTTCTTTTAGAACCACAAAGCTTTAAAATGGCTTTAATATAAAGTACTTACTCAATTAATTTTGTCAAAAGTAGTCAAGCTCAGCATTTAGAAATATGAACCAGTGCATAGCAACAAATGTGCACAACCATTGAATTATATGTAAGCTTCTATTTTAGTTGTGTGATTCAGAATCAGGATTCAGATTATTCAAAAATTCTGTTTTTTCTTAATATTTCTACACCACATTAAAGAGGCCGTATCAGCTCTGGATCCATGTATGTAAGAGAATATATACCCCGGCATTCGTCAAATGACGTCACATGAAAAGTGACAGGTGCCCTGCCCCTTTAGAGCGGGACTTCCAGTCAAGCCCCTCTTCCTCTCCCCCTCCCTCCCTCCCCCTCCTCACTTCCTCTTTTCCTTAACCGTAATCC